GTTGTTCCGATGAAAGATTAAATTAAGTATGTTCTGTTGAATTGTGCACAATAAAACCATGCACATTTATTAAAGTACATCAAATATGGTTAAAAAAAATTAATTAAAATATAAAAAATAATAAAAGACTACTACTTTTAATACTATATTTATCTGCTAGATGAATTGTGCACAATAACACCTTGAACATTCATTTAAAAAGTACATAAAATGTGGTATCTCCTAAATTAATAACTGTAGATGTTATTGCACATTATTCAATTAAAGATTATGATTTATTTTAAAAGCGTCTATGAATTGTGCACAATAAAACCTTTCATGATATTAAATAAATTATTTTACAAATTAATACTTTTTTTTTTTTTTAATAGTAGAACTTTTGTGTTAATTATTGAATGAATGAAAATGTTATTGCACACATTATTAAAAAAAAGGCTTTATAGTCTTTCATCAAAATGTAGTAACTTACAATGACTTTTCTTTTTAGCTGACATCATGATCCCCTCTTACTTTTCAACTCCTCGAATCCAATCACCGGCCATATGGATAAAACCCACAGAAGTACACAGGGTTAAAAACTAAATGACATATTGAGTCTACATTAAAGAGAGCCACTTAAATTTCACCCAGCGCATTAGACTTATGAAACAAACCAAAACGCTGCATGTAGAACAGGAACTTGAATTATCAAACTGCTGTGGGACTTCAGCTGAGTGAGATCAGTAGCAGAAACTCACACAAGCCTGCAGCAGAAGCATTCATTTTCCCCGATAACTAAACTATCAGATGTATAGTGTTTTGAGAACTAAACCCAACAACATCTCGTCCTCCACATGCATATTTCTCAGATCCGCCCTCGTTCACAGAACAATGGTATGCGCAGAGAACAAGGAAGAGCATGAATCTGGGAAAAGAAAAACACTGACGGAAAGAACAAATGTGAATGGGATTAGTCTCGAGTTTCCTTCTCCTACAGAGCAGCACAATCAGCCCAAATGAGGTGAAATTACCAAACAGTTGCAAAAGTAAACGTTATATCCATCACCAGCCTGAAATAAACAATCACAGCATGCAGATTAACAGCAGTGATTCCATTTAAAAAGCTTTCAAAATCACCCACAAAAGAACTGGGAGTAATTTAGCAGAAATCCTTCACTAAAGCCTGCCGCATACTGTGCGATTTTCCTTGCTCTTTACAATTAAACTCTTTTTCATACACTGTGATTGCGCATTACTGAAGTTATTAACATGGTAACGTTTTTTGTTGTTGTTGTTTAAAAGATGTAATGTACATTTATAAAACTATTACCTTGGCATTAAAGGAGACATATTATGCCCCTTTTTACAATATGTAATATAAGCCTCTGGTGTCCCCAGAATGTGTCTGTGAAGTTTCAGCTCAAAGTACTCCACAGATAATTTATTATATCATTTTGAAACTGCCTATTTTGAGTGGAAGAAGAAACAAGCTGTTTTTCGGGCCTGTTTCTTTAAATGCAAATGAGCTGCTGCTCCCCGCCCCCTTTTCCAGAATAGAGCTGCTCCGTTACAGCTCGGACCTGCTAAAAAACTTCTGGTTTGGTTCTGATTATCATGTTTATCGCGCTGAAATCATGAGTTTTAAACCATATTAGGTTAAACTTCAGATATAAGGTTTTCCGAGTGCACACATCCGAAGCACACGGACAGAAAGCGGCTGTCACAGCATGTGAGTACTAAACTAATTCTCATTCACAACAAGTTTACGTTAAAAGCACACACATGAGTTACAAAAACAGTGGGTTACGTCTGTGAAGGTAAACAGCTGGGAAATAAATAGCATGTTTATTTTAGATCTGTGTGGCAACAGCAATATAGAGTAAATAAATCAATAAATCCACTGCTCTCTTGTCTCCTCTGAGGCTGGGACTCTAAATAGTGTTCTGTGCTCGTCTGTGCAGCCAAAGACAGAACAGTTAGCATGTTTTGCTCAAACATTCGCCATGGCATTAGAACTAGTACACCGTTGTCGCTTGCGAAATCAAAATGAAGGCGCAGTGGGTGGAAACGTACAGATTAAGGGGCGGTAATATTATAATGAGATCCCTTTGCCACATCACCAAGGGAGCAAAATCAGATGCCATCGTTTTTTCAGACGCTTGCAGAAAAAGGCTTCCCAAAATAAAGTTACTGGGTTAATCTTTTTCACGTTTCCTTGGTTGGTAGATGCACCGGGGACCTGATTATAGCACTTAAAACCTGGAAAAGTCAGATTTTCATGATATGTCACCTTTTAATGACAGAAAACTGTATATTCCTAATGAACAGCTGAGGGAGTGACAGCAAATTTGACATCTTTCTCTCTTCTTTTGGAAAGTCGTAGGAACACTATTGTGGATTTTTCTTCTGCGAAGCGGCAAAAGGAAACATACAAATGATATTTGTTGCAGTTTCTGTTCACCACTATCCAAATTTACCCAACTATGACAACTTCCACTTGTCAGAACCTCAGAAAATTCAGGGTCAGTTTGATTGTATGACCATAATGTGAAGGAATGGCTAATAAGATGTTGCTAGAATACATATGACATCATACAGACACACTAATTATTGATTAACTGATTATGACCATTAAAAACACTTTTTGGTTAAAGACGACGACTTAAAATGTCTGACACTGTCAGACCTTCATCGACTGCTAAGATTCAATACAATTGCAAATAATTAGCCATTGCTAAACACGTCATACTTAGCGATCAAAAACTGATGATTTTGCCCTAAAACAAATAAGGAAGATTTGAAATTAATAATCTCTTACTGGCCTGGTGAACCAAAATGTACATAAAACAAACAAAACAAGCCCTACAATTAAATAAAATAACACATATCATACAGACTCTTCACATTTAATGGTATTGGATTTGATGATTGCGTTTAACAGATTGTGCTTTCAATAAAACATTTGCAATTGGTTTGAAATAGTGAATCATTTTGCAAAGCAATTGGTTTAGTTGGTTCAAAGTTCCTACCATCACTATTAACATCAAAGTTCATTCAAATTTGAGGTACAGTGGGTATAGAAAAGAATCAGCCCCTTTAAAATAATCACATTGTGTTGCTTTGCAGCCTGAAATGAAGATGGACACAGTTTTTGTTTTACCCAGCTGCATTTACTCCGTGCAACTTATAACATCCAAGTGAAAGATATAACACCAACATGTCAAAAACAGGGGGTGATTCTTTTCCATATCCACTGTACAATCTTTTAGACAAACAAAGAAGGTTCATAGACTAATTTCATGCTGCTATGGATATGAAATCAACAACACATGTGATTCAGTAAAAAGAGGATTTTATCTTACCAGAGAAAACATGCCACTTGTGGAATAATGAATGAGGGAAACACCGCTCAATATAGCTGCTAAAGAACAGGAAGTCACTTTTTAATTACACCTGGGCTGCGTTCAGCCCCGACAAAACGGTGCAAAACGTTTTTTTAAACGGAAACGGTGGTGCGTTGAACACTCTGTTCTGATGACGCAAGAGTTGCAACTATGGCAGCTGAGAAGGCCATTCTTTGTGTTCTTTTTGAAGAATTTTCGGAGCCTGATGAAATCGGTATAAATACGTGTTTAATACTGCAAAATACGCTCTATGGTACAGTCACTGCCCTTGCCGTCCAGAATTAAAGAGAACATCCCAATCGAGTGAAGGGATTTGTGCAAACTGTGGTTCCTAATTATTGTGATCCAACATTTGCCTCACATTTCAGGATGAAAAGACAAACATTTCAGGTGAAGGATAATCCACTTCTTGCCTCCAAGACTGTGTTATGATCTATATGACCTTATTATTTTTATTGTGAGTATTAGGCTTATCATTATTGCTGATCACTGTTGTTGTGCTATGTTATTGTAATATTTACCATTATATAATCAGAGGGGTATAGAAAAGTTTATGAAAGTGTCACTCTACAATACAATAGCAAAATATATAAATATGTATAGTATTTTTATGTTACATTAATCAGTGTCTAGCACACCTTCCTAAGGAAAGGATATGGACCGGAAGACATTGCAATTACTAAATGATATTTAGACAAACTTAAAGAAGTTCCAGATCTATACTTGTGCTCTTATTATTTCAGTTATTTTGCCTTTAATGTAAATAAACATGTGCAAACAATATACAGGTACTTGCTCTTGTGAATTTATTTTGATGTTAATTACATTGTGCGAGCTGACTCTTTAATACCGCGTGGTTTACATACATGTTGCTGATTGGGCTGACATGTTTGACACACCCACCAAACAAGAGAAAATGCATATCAAACCCCATTGCACACCGTTTCCAGGAAACATGTCGTTCAAACCGGAAACCGTAGCAAAACGTTGCACACCGGTTTGAGCTTGAACTTGCCCCTACAGTTTTCAAAATGACTGCTGGATGAACAGACTTCCTGTGCTCACAAAAAATACAAACACTACATTACCCATAATGCAGCGCAGCAGGGTCAATTTTGGTGCCTTCAAGTCCAATTTGGTAGTTACACATATTTTTTCCTCTCTTTTTTATTTCTCAAGAAAAGTTAAATGTAAATGTTGTGTAATTCATGCTTTGTGTATATTTAAGCATGCTTGCACTGGTGCAAAATTAGTTTTTCATTTTCGGGCAGGCTTCATTGCTGTTTTTCAACAACAATATACAAATTGCATTAAAATTAATTCAATCTGGTGGCGTTCATGTGCGTTTATCTGTCTGTTGAAGTGTGAGTCATTTTCCAAGAAAACACCATTTCAGTCTTTCTACTTAAAATGTTCAACATGTTACTTGGTGGTGAAATTTACTAACAATTTCTGAGTGAAAACGGTTTCTACACCAGATTTTTGTGGCATTCTGGTTTTGAATTCTGGCAGCTTTTTGGTTTGGCTTGACAAAGCAGGCTGGAGTAAGGTGAACTTCCAAGAGCAGATTTGCGCAATCTTGGACTGAAGAAAGACACGAGCAGTGTCAGATCTTACCGTACAGATGTCTTGGCGTGATCAGAACACCTGCCCTCTTCTGCTACAGGTGTGCTGGCAAACTGTCGCAGTCATGAACAGAAGCTGGGGATGAAGATGGCATCTGGAAGCAGCTGAAGCTGTCAGGCTTCATGTCTCCATCCTCCCCTGAGGGAGGACAAGAAGATGAGTGTCACCAATCATCACTCCTTCAACATCCTGACCATCATCTTCCTCGTTCTGTCTACTACAGGTAAGAGGACGTGGGCAGATGGTTTGGTTGGACGTACATACGCAACAGCGGTTCATTATGTACCTGCTGTCTGAATTCTGCTGACAGAAGCAAACTGAGGCATCAGAAACCCTGAGAAATATCTCAAACTGACATAATATTCAAAAGCACTTGGATTTTTCTTCAACTATAGGTACTTTTGGGCCTGTGAAGAATTAGAAAGTAAACAATATTATTGATTATACTGTAAATATAATATTTCCACACATTTAGATTATTTTAAATTATTTGATAATACAGTATATACATTTATTCACTTAATTTAATTAAAAATGCTCAAAATATATTTAATATAAAATTATCTTTATTAGGTGCAAATTATAATTTGTGCAAAAATGTATTTAATTTCTTTTATTTAATCACAGTAAAAAAAAATTATTTCATTTGTGTTGATTTTAATTCTTTGTATAGCTTTAAAAATGTAGTAATTAACATTTTTATATGGGGAAAAGGCATTAAAGACATGGTTCAAGACGACAAGAAAGTTGAGTTTTATCTTTAAATTTTTCACTTTTGGATAACTTTATTTGATAATGCATTAATTTATTAAATTGAAAATCGAATTTTTATAAGAGCATTTAACTTTGTTAGGTGCAAACTGATAGATTTTTCTCTATTTTTTAGCAAAAATTGATTTAATTATTTTATAATTGATTTAAATATTTTATTATATTACATATTAAACTATAATAAGAATTACATTCTAATAATATAATATATAATTCTTATATATATTATTTTATTTAATTCTTAAAAATGTAATTCATTTTTATTATGGGGAAAAGGGGTAAAACATTAAATTGAAAAAATAAATGATGAAGACATGGTTTAAGACAGATTTAAAGTGACCACAACAGAGTTGAAATCCATTTGTTTCAATCAAAATCAACCCGTGGGACATAAAGGTGCCTGTAGATGAAGAAACATCCTCTTATCAGATTTACCGCTCTCATACGGACATTCTTTTCCCAGAATCTCTGAGCGGTCCAATTTGTTTCATCCATTGTCCATCTGTGTCTCACTGAGCTTTAGATGGTGTCTCACTGTGAGTTCTGCCTCCGCTGGGAGACTGAAGCTCCCATAACATTGATCGGGTGTGAGATTGTGTGAGATTACAGGTCATAAAGCTGGATCAAATCGAAAAACCTCTTTAATTATTAAAGACAGGCGTGAGTCATTCTCTCTGCAGCAGAGTTTAAAGCCTTGGACAGCAAGGAGAAAATCATCATGAAACAAACAACGATGGTGTCACGACTCTTTAGATATGTGGCGTGGTGAATATCAAAATATCATTAAAAAATAAAGCCATGCATACACACACACATATACAAGGATCTAAGGCGAGACATCCTGTGATTCTTAAACAGAGTCTTTTAATGTCATCTAATGATTCTGGTTCGTAATATGCCTGATTTGTAGTTTGCATATTTATATTTTTTTGTTATATGAAGTATTGTTACACCGAATTACATCTTTTCTGTAAATCATGTTAAAAATGCATGATAGTCATGCTCAGAATTAATTTTTTTAATTAAATACATTCTAATTAAAGAAAATTTTAAAGAAAAATTCAAAATCTAAATGAAAGAAATTTAAAGCTGTATTAAACTTTTATTGTTTTGATGCTTTAAAATCCCTTTTTGTCTTTTTGACTTTGATTTAATATTTTTGTCTTTGATATATATATCAAATATATTTTTGTCTTTGTTAACTTACTTAAAGAATTTAAGAACAAGCTTAAAAAAAAAAAAAACGTTTTATGACACATAATATGAAGTGAAGTTAAATATAAACTGAAAAATAATGCCAGCACTTATGTTTTGTTCATAACGTATGGTTATAAGGCATATTGTTGCTATGGTTACCTCCTCAGGCGAACACGACTTCTGTTTGTGAGCAATGAGTTCTTACTAACTTGCAATCAAACTTTGATTACAAAAATATTGTTTGGAAATGTTCATTATGTTATACATAGGAACTGTTTAGTACTTGTACTTCTTAAGATTCTCGACCCTTTGTGTTTGACTTCCTTTTGGGGGGGCTTCACGACTTAATTAAACTACCTCAAAACCCTCATAATTTGCACCCGTCTAAATGAGTTTTGAAGCTCTAGCTCTCCTCACTTTTCCTCTCACATTTGTCTAATTAAACAAATCGGGTTCAGCCTGAAAGAAATAGAAACTCAAGCTGAAGTTTGCAAGTTTTCATGAAGAAGTGCTGATTTATCATAAAGACCTTAGTCTGTGAGGAAATCAAGGTTTTGTTTAGTACGTCTGCACCACCTATAAACGTATCCGAGCTATTTAGGCTGAAACTCTTAGTGATTGAGATTCAAAACAAGTGCATGTGGTGCTGAGCGAGAAGAGAAGTAGGCTTTCCTATGCGATGTCTGTGAGCTGTTGTGTCTGCTGGTTCTGTTCGAGTTGTTCGGGGTGAATCATGTCAACATGGGTTAGTCGCTCAGACCTCGCTGTCACTCTCGGTTTTGAATTCAGAGATGAATAATGAAGCAGAACTATGACTGTCATACATTAAAAACAAGCCTTGTAGCATGGCTTTTGTGCATGTGCTCGAATCAGTGAGAAAATTATTACAGGCACGTTTTTACGCTTCAGAATAACATGAGAGCTCCACTAAATGTGGTGAATCATCATTAAATCAGGGTGAATTATAACTGAAATGTACTAAAATACATCTCTTATTAATTAAAAGACTTGGCTGAAGATCAGCTGTTTGAAATTGAACTGCTAGCTGAACTGCATGCAACAAAACACATTAAGCTGTGGTTCTCATGCAAGCGATGAATGTTCGAGTCCAGCCTGCAACATTCATTTTTTACAATTGAAGCAAAAATGCCCAAAAATAAAGTAATCATGAATCGGACATTTGCAATTCATTTTACTTATTATATTATATTATATTATATCAGATATGTATTATATTACATTAACAATCTCACGTCACATGCTCACTGTCCTATCTATCATTGTCTTTCCGCACAGCTCTCTCTGCTCATTTTCGGGTGTGTGAGCCTTACACTGACCACAAAGGGCGCTACCACTTTGGATTCCACTGTCCTCGTCTCTCGGACAACAAGACGTACATGTTCTGCTGCCACCATAACAACACGGCCTTCAAGTACTGCTGCAACGATACTGAGTTTCAAACAGTCATGCAGGTCAACCTGACCACGTCTCCAGACGGCTACGCTCACAAGTGAGTCTCCTGCCTTCAGCTACAAACACAGTGTTGACTTGACATTATCATACCAGGGAAAAGCTGCACAAAGTAATTTCTATCTTATGATTCAATACAGTGATCCTGGAGTTTATATTGACACCAGCCTGGTTGCAACAGCACACATACAATATGATTTTGGTTACCAGTGCCAGTTGTATTTCTCAGCTATTATTTTTCCCCAATAAAAGGGTCCAAACAAGTAAAGGGTTACAGACAACATAAGTAGTATACGGTGGTCATGTGATTTCAACATAGTACTATAAATAAAAACAACAGAATTTGATTTGATTGGATTGCTATTACTAACATTACTATTACATATGTAATGCATAATGTACAAAAAAGATCATCATATTTCTAGTTATTGCTTATATTATGTACCTAGCTACCTAGATAGCAGCAAACTTCACTTTTTTTTATATGGAATAAGTTCTCATAGTACTCATATTGTTTATATATTATATATTATATATATATATATACACATATACAGGTGCATCTCAATAAATTAGAATGTCGTGGAAAAGTTCATTTATTTCAGTAATTCAACTCAAATTGTGAAACTCGTGTATTA